GTAGTCACATTCTTTGCATCCTTTTTTGTTGTCTACTTGGTATGTCAAAACCCTGAATACTATATTAACATCTCTCGCTATGGTTATGTTTCTGTCACTCTGTTAGCTTCTCCCGTTATTTCCTGTTTTTATCGATAAATTGTGGATGTATGTCCAGGAGGGCTGCAGCCAGACTACCATAACATTTGGAAAGAGTCTACTGTGAGTCGCCTTTCTAAACATTTGAATTCTTCTGTTGAACTCTATTGTCCTTCCAGTTCCTTCCTCAGAATTAAAAAAAAAGTGTTCCTAACTTATCTATAATTCAAAGCTAAACACTTTAAGAATCTTATCTACAAACTCGTATATATTTTTTTCAAGCCCCATATGTATGATATTTTGCAGTGTTGACGTATAGTGACTATTACCTGTAGCTTTGCTAATTTAGTGATCTGAGCAATTCCCAATTCCCAAAGACAGATTTTTTTTAAAGTTGTGTACTTTCATTCTTACTTTCTCATTAAAAAAAAAAAAAAATCCATTTACAAGACAGAAGTTTTCGTGATAGGGTATAGAAAGGATTATACAAAGAATGATGAACATGAAATTGTCATCTGGCCCTTCTCTGCGAATCCCTTTGGCAGCACAAAACCTTACATTTATATCACCTTGCCTCACTCAAGGCTTGACTTAGGAAACTGTGTTTACACACAGTAATTAATGCCTCATTTGTCAAACATGGTCCATGAATGTCTTCCGGATGAAGGGTTTTCTAGATAATTGGAGCTTTACCCTTTAAGCATGACTTTTATTGGATACCCTTTTAAAAATGTATGACAGAGAAACAAACCCAAACTTACCTAAAATGGGTAATGTTGCTAAAAACAGCTCCATGGTAAGCATCCAGGTGGTGAGTATATGGGTGTTCACTATAAAATTCTTTCAACTTTGTTGTGTTTGAAAATTTTCCTAATAAACGTTGGGGGAAAAAGAAACACTTCGGAAAGTCATGTAACCTTTATTCCAACGATGTTGTGGTTACTCAGAGCTGGTTACTCAGTGTGGAATGGTTCAGGTTGCAGGCTCTGGAGCAGACTGCCTGAGTTCACATCCTGCCTCCTAGCTGTGTGCCCTTCAGGTTCCTGCACTCCTCTGAGTCTTGTCTGTCTTGTCTGTAAAATGGGAATGGTAATAGCTCCTCCTCCTGGCTTTGTTGTGAGAGTGAAATGAGACGATGTGTATTAAAGCACTTCCTACAGCATTAAACACTCAATAAACTGGTAGTTGCTGCCACTACCCCCACTACTGCTATTTTGTAATTGCCTTCAGCGTTGACGACTGAGCCACTCAGACAGTGGTTAGCAGCGTTACTCTCCCTGATCATTTATTTGAATGACAATTTGGAGCTACTTTGAGACTTAATTTTGAAGGAATTGGAACTATTTCCCAAAATCAAATCCATCTTCTCAGCTTTGGTAAATAAAATACCAGGAATATAATTTAACTCTTCCTCAGTGAAGCCCAGTCCCCATCACAAATACCGGTTATGACCCTGTGTCCAGGTGTCTGTGCTGTGTTGGTAGGGCCCTGCACTTTCCTGCTCCTGAATTCTGCTGGCTGCCTGGCCTTCTGGTGAGCACGTGGTCTCTTCTTTTGTGTTGGTGCTGCTTTTAGCTGGCAGGTCTGCGTTTCTCTTCCCTGTCTCCTCTTGAACCTTATGTTCACAGCCACTGCTGTTCACCTTTTCCTAGGGCAGAAGTGAGCAGTACCAAAGTCAGTCAGCAAGTATCACAAAGAAGTGACACAACTGTATTTGATCCTTAGAAATGAGAATGATGACCCTCTTCTACCGAGTTGAGTGCTGGAACTTTCTGTCCTCTACCTTTCTTGGGTTTGATGTCTTTTCAGTGTTTTTTAGTATATTCATAGTTTTGTACAACCATCACCGCTCTCTAATTTTACAACATTTTCATCACCCCTAAAAAGAAACCTTGTACCCATTAGCAGTCACTCCCCATTCTCCCCTTCCCTCAGCCCTTGGCAACCACTAATCTACTTTCTGTCATTATGGATTTACCTATTCTGAGTATTTCATACAAATGCAGTGATATAACATGTGGCATTTTGTGTCTGCCTTCCTTCAGTTAGCATGTTTCCATCCATGTTGTGGCATGTATCGGTATCTCATTCCTTTTTATGGCTGAATAATAATCCCTTATATGGACATACTAGAATTTGTTTATTTATTCATCCATTGATGGACATTGAGGTTGTTTCCACTTTTTGGCTATTATTATCATGATGCTATGAATATTTGTGTACAAGTTTTTGTGTGGACATATTTTCACTTCTTTTGTGTATATACCTAGGAGTAGAATTACTGGGTCTTATGGTAACTCTATATTTAACTTTTCTTTTTTTCTCACTCTTTTTTTTGGGGGGGGGCAGGGGAAGATTCACCCTAATCTAACATCTGTTGCCAATCTTCCTCCTTTCTTTTTTCCTCTCCAAAGCGCCAGTACATAGTCGTGTGTAGTTGCAAGTTCTTCTGGTTCTATATGAGCTGCCGCCACAGCATGGCTGCTGACAGATGAGTGGTGTGGTTCCACACCCAGGAACCAAACCTGGGCTGCCAAAGTGGAGTGGGCTGAACTTTAACCGCTAGGCCATCAGGACTGGTCTATATTTAACATTTTGAGGAACTGCCAAACTGTTTTCTAAAGTGGCTGCACCATTTTACATTCCCACCAGCAATGTATGAGGGCTCTAATTTCTCCATATCCTCATCTATACGTGTTATTGTCTGTCATTGTGATTATAGCCATCCTGCCAAATGTGAAGTGGTATCTCATTGTGGTTTTGATTTGCATTTCCCTAATGACTAATGTTGAGCACTTTTTTATGTGCTTATTGGCCATTTGTGTATGTTCTTTGGAGAAATGTCTATTCAGATCCTTTACCTATTTTTTAATTGGGTTTTGTCTTTTTATTGTTGAGTTGTAACAATTCTTCACATATTCTGGATACAAGCCTCTTATCAGATATATGATTTGCAAATATTTTATTGCATTCTGTGGGTTGTCTTTTTCATTTTCTTGATGGTGACCTTTGAAGTACCAACATTTTAAATTTTGATGAAGTCTAATTTATATTTTTATTAGGCACTTGCACTTTCAGATATTCTATTTGATGTCATGAATGAAAATCTAATTTGCTCACTGGATACATAACTGTATTATTCTAGTTTTCCTGATTTGGAATTGTAAAGCACTTGATTTAAAATTTTTGCCAATAATATATAGAGGAGCTTAGAAGTGTTGATACTCGTTGAGCTGGTAAACCCAGTTCTGTGTACTTAGCCTCAGGAAATAATTTGAAAGAAGAAATACATCCTATATGCCAAAGGTCATTTCATTGTTACCTCTGAGAGTAGGACACTGGAAGCCTGTTCAATAGCAGAGGAGGATGAGTTGAGTCCATAGTGGTACATTATTAGGCAGCTATCAAATATTATAGTTATGAAGCTTATTTAATGAAAATGCTTATGATGTAATGTTCAGTGAAAAAACAAAACAGAAGGGTGTGCCCATTATGATTAAAAATATGTGTAAAATATTTGGATTAGATGGAAGAGTGTACAAAATTATAGGTGGTTTATTTTCTTAAATTTCACTTAATATTGATATTTTATCTTTATAATTAAAAATTAAGTAAAAAAATATGTACATGATATTTCAAATCAGTGGGGGAAATGGTGACAAGTGGTTAGATCTGGGTGTATGTTTATCCTTATCTTACCCCAACTATTTCTTTAATAGTAATTATGTTTTATCATTATGATCATCAGGGTTATACTTACAAACAGAAAGATAGTTTGCTGTGTTTATTTACTAAGAATTCGACTAGAGATATTTTAATTTTCTTTACATTTTTATCTCAAATCCAAACACTGATGATAACATGACATGATTTTGATTATTAGAATTACTATTATTTTAGTCATTATCATCATTACAATTTGCTAAAAGAAAGGTAATGGTGATTATGGTAATATTATCTTAATAATAGGGATCATAGAAATACTTTTCTCATTGTAGCTCATGAAAGAATTATTATAATTATTTTACACGTAAATAAATCAATCACCCTAGGGTTTGGAATAATTTCAAATGGATCAAAGATTTAAGAGTTGGTTTTTTTAATGGAACAATAAAGGCACTGAAAGAAATAACAAAGTAAGCATAATACAAGGTCACGTGTAGTTTGCACTCCCAAGGTGAAGGCCACACTTTGAGTTGCTGCAGCCAGTGAGAGAAGGTACAGCATGCAGGGCCACAAACTAGGTCGGTGGATCCCCTGACCCTCCAACATTTGACTTCAGCTGAGTGACAGTGGTCCGGGGTACAGCCAGTAACTGTGAGGTGATCCCTCTTCTGTGGCCTGGAATGGATACGATAGGGCAGCAGGCAGAGAAGGGCCACAGGGAGAAGCCCGGCTCCGATAGCAGCCAGCTCCCCTTCCCCCGCCAGTTCACACACTGCAGCTGACTTGGCCTCTGGTCCTGGCTGGGGAGAGGCAGAGGCGTCATCTTGTTCTCGTATGTGGGAAGACTATGAAAAGAAAAACCCTTGTTGGCCCAAACATTTAAACAAGAATTACACTAGGATCTTTTGTTCTCACTCTGATATGGTCAGAATTAATTTGGAGGTCCAAAGAGGATTATTTTGTTGTTGTTGTTTTTGAATCTGAGTTACTTAATGCAAGGATAAAGAGGAAAATATAAAACAAAAACATATGACTTAAGTCTATCAAATGGTATTGGAACATCCCTAAGTCATTCTTAGGGCACTATTCTGTTAGTGTTTGGGGGGCTCCTGACTCAAACTTCACATCCAAGCTACTGCTAAACTTCTTATGAAAAGGCCCAATGGTAGAAGGCAAGCAGTGGAGTGTGTCTAGGTATCTGAGAAATACACAGACAGAGCTTAAGAGATTGTAATCATTTTTTTCTTCCTCCTCAGGTTTAATAGGGAAAACTTGCTTTCTGCAAACAACTAAAAAAGCTACCCTTGGAAATCGTTTCTTTGGTCCTCATGGAGCAGCTGGGACTTGTACTGTGAGGCCCTTAACGGGACAAGCTCTCACCCACTGATCACCCAGAGTGATTATCACCATGGCCAGCAAGAGGAAATCCACCACCCCGTGCATGATCCCCGTGAAGACTGTGGTGCTGCAGGATGCCAGTGCAGAGCCCCAACCCTCTGAGGCTTTGCCCGAAGGACCCCAGCAAGATCTGCCCCCAGAAGCACCTGCTACCAGCACTGAGGCAGCCCAGAACTCCAGCAGTACCGATGGCACTGCACTGGCCAATGGGCATCGGAGCACTTTGGATGGCTATTCATATTCCTGTAAATACTGTGATTTCAGATCCCAGGACATAACCCAGTTTGTGGGACATATGAACTCAGAGCACACAGACTTTAATAAAGACCCAACTTTTGTATGCACTGAATGCAGTTTTCTGGCAAAAACTCCTGAGGGGCTTTCTTTGCACAATGCCAAGTGTCACTCAGGGGAAGCCAGCTTTGTGTGGAATGTGGCCAAGCTGGACAATCATGTAGTCGTGGAGCAGAGCGTCCCCGAGAGCACCAGCACTCCTGACCCATTGGGTGAGCCCAATGCTGAAGGGACTGATGGACAGGCTGAAATCATCATTACCAAAACTCCAATCATGAAGATAATGAAAGGCAAAGCTGAAGCCAAAAAAATCCATACACTCAAGGAGAATGTCCCCAGCCAGCCTGTCGGTGAGGCCTTACCAAACTTGCCGGCTGGGGAAACAGAGGTGAAAGAGGGGGACCACTCCTTTGTCAATGGGGCGGTCCCAGTCAGCCAGGCATCTACCAACTCCGCAAAAGCCCCCCATGCAGCCAATGGGCCCCTGATGGGAACGGTGCCAGTTTTGCCAGCTGGTATAGCACAGTTCCTCTCCCTCCAGCAGCAGCCCTCAATGCATGCCCAGCACCATGCCCACCAGCCACTGCCCACATCCAAGTCCCTTCCCAAAGTGATGATCCCCCTGAGCAGCATTCCGACGTACAATGCAGCCATGGACTCCAACAGCTTTCTGAAGAACTCTTTTCACAAGTTCCCCTACCCAACCAAAGCCGAGCTCTGCTATTTGACTGTGGTCACCAAGTATCCAGAAGAACAGCTCAAGATCTGGTTCACAGCACAAAGGCTGAAACAAGGTATCAGCTGGTCCCCTGAGGAGATCGAGGACGCCAGGAAAAAGATGTTCAATACAGTCATTCAGTCCGTACCTCAGCCCACAATCACTGTTCTGAATACTCCCCTGGTTGCCAATGCTGGCAATGTCCAACATCTCATCCAGGCTGCTCTACCAGGTCATGTTGTGGGACAGCCAGAAGGCACAGCAGGGGGGCTTCTGGTCACTCAGCCACTGATGGCCAATGGGTTGCAGGCACCAAGCTCATCTCTCCCGGCAGTAGTTACATCCGTCCCCAAGCAGCCAACTGTTGCGCCCATTAACACTGTGTGTTCAAATACAACATCGGCTGTGAAGGTGGTCAATGCAGCCCAGTCGCTCCTCACAGCGTGCCCCAGCATAACTTCCCAAGCCTTCCTCGATGCTAGCATCTACAAAAATAAGAAATCTCATGAACAGCTGTCAGCTCTGAAAGGTAGCTTCTGCCGGAACCAGTTCCCAGGACAGAGTGAAGTTGAGCATCTGACCAAAGTGACTGGCCTCAGTACCAGGGAGGTGCGGAAGTGGTTCAGTGATCGGAGATACCACTGCCGGAACCTGAAGGGCTCCAGAGCCATGATGCCTGGAGATCACAGCTCCATCATCATCGACTCCGTGCCAGAGGGGCCCTTCTCCCCATCGTCCAAGGCCCCTGAGGTGACCTGCATCCCGACAGCGGCCACCCTGGCCACCCACCCTTCTGCCAAACGACAGTCCTGGCACCAGACCCCTGACTTCACACCAACCAAATACAAGGAGCGAGCCCCCGAGCAACTCAGGGCTCTGGAGAGCAGTTTTGCACAAAACCCACTTCCTCTTGATGAGGAACTGGACCGCCTGAGGACTGAAACCAAAATGACCCGAAGAGAGATTGATAGCTGGTTTTCAGAGCGACGGAAAAAAGTGAATGCTGAGGAGACCAAGAGGGCCGATGAGAGTGCCTCTCAGGGAGAGGAGGAGGCTGCTGAAGGTGAGGGGGGAGAAGAGGATTTGCCCAGTCACCTGAGGGTCCCTGCTGAAAATGGCTCCCCAGAAGCACCCAGCGGCCACAGCTTGGCAGAACGCAAAGTCAGCCCCATCAAAATCAATCTCAAGAACCTGCGGGTCACTGAAGCCAACGGCAAGAACGAGCTTCCAGGGCTGGGCACCTGCGAGCCTGAAGATGACGGGTCGAACAAGCTGGCAGAGCAGCCCCCGGGCAAAGTGAGCTACAAAAAGACAGCCCAGCAGCGGCACTTGCTGCGGCAGCTTTTTGTGCAGACGCAGTGGCCAAGCACCCAGGACTATGACTCCATCATGGCCCAGACGGGCCTGCCGCGGCCAGAGGTGGTGCGCTGGTTCGGGGACAGCAGGTATGCCCTGAAGAATGGCCAGCTCAAGTGGTACGAAGACTATAAGCGAGGCAACTTCCCACCAGGGCTGCTGGTCATCGCCCCTGGCAACCGGGAGCTGCTGCAAGATTATTACATGACCCACAAGATGCTGTACGAGGAGGACCTGCAGAGCCTCTGCGACAAGACCCAGATGAGCTCACAGCAGGTCAAGCAGTGGTTTGCTGAGAAAATGGGTGAAGAGACCCGGGCCGTGGCAGACACAGGCAGCGAGGACCAGGGCCCTGGTGTTGGTGACCCTGTGGCGGTTCACAAAGGGATGGGTGAAACCTATTCGGAGGTGTCTGAGAACAGTGAGTCATGGGAGCCCAGTGTCCCTGAGGCCAGCTCAGAGTGCTTTGACATACCAAGTCCCCAGGCTGGACTTCAGCTGGGTAAGGAGTCCACGGGAGCCATGGCTATCCTCTGTGGGTACGGGGTGGGGGGCACTCATGGGTGGGCACTGAATTTATTGCATGGGGGCATCTGCTGTTTCTAAGGCTGCCTGGCAGCAGGACTGAATTGCCTGGCTGCTTCCGGGGGCAACTGGCAGCAGAAGCCATTGGAGCATAATGTGATAAAGGGTTGAGAGTTGTTTTTTTGTTTCATTTCATATTTTTTTAAACCTGTGCAGGGGAAAGAACATAGTTGAACCTAGAGGGGTTCAAGCTTTTTGAACCATTTCTTAGCAATAAGAGAAGGGTCAAAACATCATCTGGGTCAGGCAGAACCATAACCACTGGGCAAGAGAGAGCAGTAGGACTTTTGAGGAAATTCAACTCAAATTGGTGAAGCAAAGGAAAGAGAGCTTTTAATTGTTCTTAGATACATGAAGTGCTTTTTTATTAATGATGACAATCCAGTAATTTACATTTCTATTGTTCTTCCTGATGTGGAAGTAATGGAACATCATCCTCCCTCTTACATATACATGGAATCAAAAGCTTGAATTTTGTTGCTCAGTTTCTGTGGATCATGGATCACTTGAAAGAAAACTTTAGAGGATTATTTTATTGAAGACAATTTTGAAGCCACAGACAAATGAAGTTACTGGGTGTTGATTTTCAATGGTCTTGATCCCTGAGTTCCAGCCTCTCCCTTCCCTCCCCACCCTGAGGTATTTCTCTCCTCATTGGAGGCCTCATCACAGGATGGCCAGAAGCGATGTAATTTAGCTCTTCACAGGAGGCTGTGGAAACTGAGGAAGTATCTGCATTCTCAGATTCTCTGATTTGTGGACCTTTAGAAGTTGGCTCTGAGGCCTGGTATTTCTGGACGTGACCTTGTTTTCCCCCAGACCCCCATGAGTCAGTTAGGTCCTCACAGGGAGTGTCATGGGCACCAGGGAACAGGTTTGGCTTCACACGGCTGGTTACCTCGGGCGTCTTCTCCAGCACTGGACCTGCCTCTTGGGGAATGCCCATCCCTGGCTTTGGCTATGCCAGCAAAAGAGCATAGACTACTGGGAACTGGAACAAACTAATTTCTTTTCCTTCTTTTTAATTAAAATTTTATTAAATGAGATTCTTGAGTAGCTGGAAACCGGGTGATAGTTACACAACATTGTGTTTGTACTTAATGCCACTTAATTGTACACTTAAAAGTGGTTAAAATGGTAGGTTTTATGTTATGTATATTTTACCACAATTGAAAAAACAAAAAGCCGGGGCCAGCCCCGTGACTTGGCAGTTAAGTGCGCGCGCTCCGCTACTGGCAGCCCGGGTTCAGAACCCGGGTGAGCACCGACGCACTGCTTGTCCGGCCGTGCTGAGGCAGCGTCCCACATACAGCAACTGGAAGGATGTGCAACTATGACATACAACTATCTACTGGGGCTTTGGGGAGAAAAGGGGGAAAAAAAAAAAGGAGGAGGATTGGCAATAGATGTTAGCTCAGGGCCAAAAAATAAAAAACAAAAAGCTAACCTGGAGTTGGAATTAATGGGTTTGAATCACAAGCATTGGCTCTCCTCAGCTACTAAATCTAACATGAGGTAAAATGTGGGAGTCCTAGGTGGGGCAGAGCAGGAGTGGCAGGGGGTGGCCATGCCATTGTGGCATCGTCCTCTTCTATCTGAGGCAGATAACCGTGGGTACAGAGAGGGCTTATCTGTTTGTCTGTAGTTGGTTTCTCCCAGAATTTCTCAGTCAGCTTCAATGCAAGGACCGCGTCTGTAAGCATCACAGATGATGGACCTCTCTGAGCAGCCCCACTGACTTTAGGGTTGGAAGTTATAAATGAAGTGAAGACATCAGTAGAATACATATCAGAAACTAGATCCAGCTGCCATTATATTAAAACAGTGTGTTCTGGAGAGCCGGGAGGGAGAGGGCAAGATGAGGCCGATTAGGACAGGACTCGAGAGGCGGTGGCGGCAGCCTGGGGAGCTGAGCTGAAGCAGTCAAGGGTTAATGAGCCTAGAGAAGATGAGTTCCTGTTCCAGCTGCTAGGCCTGGGGTTTGGCGGTGGTCCCTTGGAGAGACTGAAGGCCTTGCCTGATTTAGCCAGCATTCCCTCCTTAACCCACACCGCCTTCTTCATACTCCCTTAGGCTGGACAGTAGGGGAGTGGCTGGCAGGAAGACATTGCTCATGGAATTAAGAGGTCCCGAAAGCCAGTGATGCCACTCTGGCATGGCAAGAACCAGGCTGCCCTGGGGACTATGTAAGTGGCTGCTGACGTGGAGGTGACAGGCGTGTGTTTTCTCCTCAGAAACAGACTGAATATGAACCGATTCCTGTGAAGGACTGGCCAGTCTGGGATGCTGCCTGCCACGTGGAAGGGCCCAACATGCCGTTCCCATGCCTGGCCACTGGGCACGCACGAGAGCTTCCAGAGGCCTTGCAGACAGCCCAGAGCCCGCCACCAACTTCGGCCTGCCACCACCGAGCAAGCAGGGAGAGTAGAGTTCTCGTCAGTTCTTCCTCCCACAATGTAGGACCTTTCCTTTGCCTTCCAGTGGATAAAATAGTTCAGATTTCATATTCATAGACACAGAATCAAGTTTTTAACGTATAAATCTGCCTATACACATTTAATAAAACATCAGATTATAAACACTTTAAGTGCATAGAAACTTTGGTTAGCAAAGCAGTACATTGTCTTTTACATCATCTCTGAAAATGCCCTGTGTCTGTTCTCTGGAGATTGTTGGGGCCACATGTTCCCTCACCTTCCACGGTTGGGCAACACACTCAGAACTACATCTGGAACCCCCGTGTGCCCCCTTTGTGTTCCTCGAGGAAGGCAGTACCTTTGAAGAGATCTCTGCTACATTAAGCAGTGACCAGCAAAATTTCATGCCCAGCTTGCCTTGCCTTATGGGATAATCAGTGCAGAACCTGCTGTTCCCTACAGTTTAAAAACCAGACTGGTTATGTGATTAGTGTTTGATGCTTACCTTCTCTTAAGTTGTTACAGTAATTCTGCTTTTGCCTGGGAGTTTGAATCATGGACCATACTTTTCAGTTATCAGATCAACTAAAGAAACTCTTGTTGTTAAGCCTAATGTACTGACCTAGGTGCCCGCATTTTTTTTTTAATCTGGACATGTTTAGAGTAAGAGGAAAATTAAAAAAGAAACGGGGGTGAGGGATGAAAGTACAAGTGTGTAGTCACAGCCTGTAACTTTGGCCATCATGGTTTTTGGAGCCGTTTATCCACACTCACTCCAAAGCCGCCTGTGGTTTGGGAAGGAACCCCCACGCTTGCCCAGTAGTGAGAGTGAGAGCTGAGGGGATTCGCGGACTTTTGGGAACTATCAGAGCTGGGGTGTTCTTCGGCACAGAGACCTGTGAAGGTTCCTGGCAGAACACCCACAGTACTCCTGGCCCCCACACCAAGGGCCTGGCTGGCATGCTGGACATCCTCGTGAGGATATTTTTAAAGTTCTACATTTATATCCCCAAACCTGCAGACAAGATCTTTGTTTACTTGAGCTTAACCCTCATATCCATTTTTCAAATTGAGAAAATCACAGGAAAATGTGCCTTTGAAACATTGCGGAAACTTGCTTACAAAGCGGTACTAAATGGTAAATCCCTGTTTCCCCAAGACTGGCTGCTCTGAGAGCAGTGGGTAAAGAGTGGGGCAGCCAAAGATGTGTCACCTCCTGTAAACTACCTGCTTCCCAAAGCACCAAGGACTTGTGGGCACGCTGCTCCTGGGCCCACACTGGGTGGGCAGCACTAGGAGACCCCAGAGAGAGGGCAGGGGCTTTGAGCAAGAAATATTGGTGGTGGGTTAGGCACAGTCCTCCCTGAGCCCTCCCAGGGAACTGGACCAGGCAGGGCACCTCGCTGGCTTGGCTCTGAGGACGAAGAGGGTGGTAGCACGTTCTGCCTTCCAGGAGAGGGCTTTCTTTGGAAACCAAAAGCCCTTCAACCATTGTTCTTCTCAAGTGTCTTCTCCTGCTCTCCCTGTCCCAATAGGGACCACCTCTTACTTGTTTCAGACAGGTGACTTGTGAGGACTTGGCAAGGTTTGCAGCCTGTTTTTGTATTCTTTCCATTTTGGATGTGAAGCTATTTAGTCCCAAAGGCCTCTTTGCAGAATTGCCAAGATTGGCGAGTGATTGCCTTCTTTCAGAGAACAGACACCTGGAGTTGTTCCTGTAGTGTTTATATACATGCAGATTAATTTATATAGACACAAATACAGTGCAGATACTCATTTGATACTTTACTCATGAAATGTACATCTGACGTGTACATTTGAGGAATTTAGTGGCACGTGGATGTTGGGGAAAGTAGCCTATGTTGGAGGGAGTGTCGGTACACTGGGCACAGCTGGGCAGCCAGCACGAAGCCATCTCCAAGTATCTGAGATGCCACCCTGCCAGCATCACTCCCAGAGCCCTGCATGCACTGGCCAAAGGGTTGTGTCGTTAGAAAGGATTTTCTTGGTTATTTTATTTGTATTCACATTTCATTTACAACCCAAACAGCAAAACAGAAAAAGTAAATTACCTGGTGGACAAGTTAACGCAGGACACAGAGAGTGACCCAACCTTGGCACCAGCTTGTCTTTAAAAGGGTGCAACAGTTACAGTGCTGCAGGCACGTTTCCTCACAGACGTTGGCCCTGCCCAACAGCCAGGGCCACACCACCAATGGCAAGACTGCCCAGGTAAGGAGCCCAGCAGACTAGACAGACCCTGCTCTTTCCTGCGCTGGTGGACTGGAGTGAATAAGTAGGCTTCGGGCCTCATGCTTGAAAGAATCAGATGATCAAAGGTGATGATGAGAGAGACAGTTGGGTCATCGAGCAGGTGCCTAAAGGGACGTTGCAGCAGGTACCCAGGGCTTTGGGTGCAAAACCGTGAACACAGCCAACCGGACATAGACAAACACCCACACTAGCCCGGAAATTGGGACTGCACCAACAGTGCAGTGGGGATGTGGGACAGTGGCAGCCAGCCCCGTGGCCCTGTCACAAGACAGATCACTGTGGTTTTGCACACCACCAAAGGGTTAGATTCTGTGATGTTGCCTTCAGTAGAAGGCAGTCTGTGGGCTGCAGAGTTGAGAGAGTTGGGGTGGGGTTAGTCTCTCCTGAAGAAAACGCCCATTTTATGAGGTGACTAATCTTTCCCCTCTTCTCTGTATGCACTTGGACTCATCAGAGATAGTAAAATATTTCAGTGTTTCTTGTTGCCTATGTCTTGTACGTTTGGTTTATTATATTTTTTACATGGGGATTTAGATCCAGTTTTAATAGATGAAACTAGATCACCATTCTGATAAAGGAAATCTGGATTTATGATACATATACTTTACATATTTTGATTTCTTGTTTTAATTCTTGACTTTTAAGGAGCTTTTTGATTGGGAAGGATGGTTCTCGTTTCCAGGAGTCGCGAGTTCCTGAAATAGAAAGCCCTGGTTGGACGACTCGCCGGCACCTTGGGGTTTGGTAGCACTGTATGACTTAGAGCTCCTTTCTTGGGGAAGTGACTGGCAGCTGTTCAGGTGGACCAAAGCACCTTGACCCGAGGCCCCCACACCCTGCTCTCCAGAAGCAAAAGGTGGGAGCTGGGCACAGTGTTGGGTGGGACTTGTAGACTGCCACATATACTAATGGCCTGGTCCCAGCTGGCTGTGGGATGCTGTCCCACCAGAAAGTTTCAGTGTGTTCTCCAGGCTGAGATGTGGCTCTTGTGGGTTTTATCCTGCTCAGTCAGTGGTCCAGTGACAGGTCCTGTGTCACCTCCTTCTCCTCTCTGCCTCTGCGACATCTGTGCCAGGCTGCCTTCTGTGGAGGGTGGGCATTGGCCTTTCTGGTTGGGAGCTCAAGTTTCTATGCACATCCTCTCCCACAGCTCCCTGCTTGTGCTGCCCTGTCTTGGGCCCTGTGGCCTCTTGTCTTCCTGTTCTCTTCTTGGACCAAAATCCTTGGATGGGAGCAGCTTTGTCGGTCAAACATCACAGCCCAAGTAGATAAAGGCACTTTGCAGGAAAGGAGGACCAGCCAAAAAGAAAATCTTAAACAAAATCAAACCTGGAGTTTGGCTTTTCCTGAAGTTTTTCCCCCCTTTTTTCCTTGCTCAGAGTTTACCTGGGGCAGGTTATTGGTTTGACTCCCATTTTTTATAAAAAGTTTAAATTTTCATGTATCGCATTAATTTGCAAGTTGTATGCTGGCGAAGAAAAGTCCTCTACACATGTAAAGGTCTGCACAGCCAGCTCTTCCAGGCCAAAGCCAGCAGCTGGCCTGGGTCAGGAGGATGACAAGGCTCGGTTCTCCTCGCTCCAGACTGGAGCCACCTCTTCAGGGTCTCCTGAATCAGCTTCCTTTGCTCCCTTTCCCTAGGAGCCTAGACCCTCCCAGCATTCCTCTCCAGACCTTGGGGAGCCATCTCCTTGTGGCTTAGGGAGCACCTGCCCTCAGAAAAGATCCAACACCTGAGAAAGCAGAGAGTGTGGAGCCCAAACCTTCTCCTGAATAGTCCCCTCCCCGAGCTAGGTTTCAATGTGTGGTACTTGCCATGCTGTTTTCTCTGGCCCATATATAATAGCCGAGCCGTGTGACACCAGGCCTGAGAAGGCTGTGGGCAACCTCTCAACAGTGATGGATTTTGATTTTGGCCAAGTGACTGGGTGGAAGTGGTGATCATGAGTGCTGCTTGACTTGCTACTCAGCCCAGCTGTTAAGTCCAGATGGAACCGACAGGCTGCAGTTCAAATTCGTTTCTGCTGGAATCTACATGTGTTCCCAGTGCCGGGTCACTCTGGGAAGGGGAGGGCGAGGGCTAACCCCAGTTCTTTCTGAGTTGACCCAGCATCTGCACGTAGCTGTGAGGTAAAAGGAGCACAGACAGAGCATTTGGCCCTGGAGAGGATCGAGAGCCTGCTTTTTGGTTCTTCACTTCGGAGCTTACTTGTCAAGACTGGCCATTCTGTGACCTGCCTGCAAATCGGGCCTCCTCTTTGAATGGGGCCCCAGTCCTTCACCAGACTAGAGACATTATAGCCTGGATCCCCTAGGAACCACAGTTCTACCTGCCCAAAGTCTGGAGCAGGGGTGGAGACCCAGAGTCTGGGATGGACTAGGCAGGCCCTAGTTACCATACAGACAAGGACAGGGGCAGCACTTGCCGCGTTTTTTTTAAAAATGCAGGGCTGCAAGGATCCACAAAGAATGTAGAGTTACAGCTTTGTTGTCGCCAGCCCAAGGCTTCCGCAGCCCTCAGAACCTGGCCCTTGCTGCTGCTCGGGCCAGAGCAAGCTGAGCAGAGGGAGGGGTGAGCACAGCCAGCAGGGCCCTTCTGGGAGGGACTGTCATCTTCTCTTCTGGCTTCTTAGTGTCTTTCCTGCTGTCCACTTTGGGGCGGGGGGGTGGGGTGTGTGGCAAGCCAGGATACCTGAGAAGAGTCTGAGTGTTTACCTGCCATTAGTGCCTCTTCCTTTAGGAGACTGGCTCTGCTGTGCGCCTGCGCACCATGTGAGCACGTGAGCACTTGAGTGTGCTAATGAATAGCTTTTCTTGGCTAATGCTTTATAATGTGTGTTCCTTTCCATGATAAATGGATGATGTGGAAGTACTCAATGTGACTGGAGTT